TTATTACTCAATTCGAAACAACAGAAAAAAATGATAGGTCACCATACTCGTTTGCGAGAAAATGACGATTCACCTCTATGGCGAGGTCCAGCTGTAAACGAAAAGCCGCCATTTTTTAATGCGCGCGCTAATCATGCGTAAAATTATGCGCAGTAGGGATGCGCAATGCAATAGTGGGGAATGACCTTAAACATAGACATTACTCGATATAAGTTGATGATATTCAGACTCTTCAATATTCCCATACATTTCTTTATATTTCGAACATACAAACAGACACGCCGCTTGTATGGGCCCCCTGTGATTTTCCCCGAAGAAGGAGGAGTCCCTCAGCTAGCACCGTTGTGGCAAAGCGGAGTTTCTGTTAGCAAGCTTGATGTACATTACAGGCAGCCACATCGTGGTTGTTTTTGTCAATACCTTATCCTGTCGATGTCCTCATCACTGTCAGAACGGAAGCACGATACAGAAAACTTGTTTATAAAAAGCTTACCTCTTACAATCGCTTTGAGGAAAGTTGGTTGTAATTCTGTGGCTGATTTTGCGTCACTTAGTGACTCGTGATATTTTCCTGTTAAAGGAATACGTTTAGAAATTAAAAAATATATATATTAATATATTTTGTAACAATATATTGTATAAAACTGAATAAGCTTATAAGACAAGCAGAGTTGCACAATTTTCTGCGATGGAGCAGCAAACAATTAAAACTGCAGCAATTGATTTCCTCAATAAAATTCGTCCTGGCTTTCAGTTATGAATTAAATACACTGATCAAGGCAAAACGTCAGTAACAGCTTGGGTCGCAGTTTAGTGAGGTACGCTCCAGTACTGGAAACGTCCAGAAGACTGTGACAGAACTGTTTGGGACATCTGTGTGATATTAAAGAATATTAGTACCTTTCCGATCTATTCAGTCGTTTACTGTTACTGAGTGAAAAGATATGACCGCCAGCGTTACTTTAGCCTGCGAACGCAGACGTATTTCCGGCTGTCGCTCTTCTCCGCCGAAAATAACGTCTGCGAAACCGAGTCAGGAAAGGATTTCAGTGACGTAATGACTTTTGTTTCTCTTTGGCCAATCAGATTCCATGATAGAATGAAACTCGAGGGCTCCTTGCAGCGAATACCTTGCGCAGTAGTTCTGGGGCTATTTGAGCTAAACTGTGATTGGCTTAAAGTTCCTACGTCACAGAAATCGTGTCCTGGCTCTGGTTCGCAGACGTTATTTTCGACGGAGACAAGCGACAGCCGGAAATACGTCTGCGTTCGCAGGCTAGCGTTACTTCAAATAGTTCACCTTTATGGTACAAAGCAAATGGACCTTGAGATTATCACGGTTATAGAAGCCGGCATCTTGATGGGTGACCAACAAGTGCCAAAAGCTACAATGTTTGCATGAGAATCTCGTAGCAAACAATGTTCTTAACAAATTTGAATTCTGAAGAATTCGTGAATAGCAAAGTTACGATACTGTATGGTCAAAGTATTGCATTAACCAAATTTGAGGGATGTAGCTTTGCTACAACGCGTACCAGCGGCGTTTTTAACTTTCCGTTTAAACATTTGTGTATAAAGTTTTACGCGGCTTTGCACGTTTTCTTCTCATTGTTGATCAAAATGCTCTGCTCATTTCTAAAATGGCAAGAGAAATGCAAACATTCTTACCCAAATAAAAATGTGCAATCGCCCTGTTACTGTACAGTTTGGCGTTCAATTCTTTATCCTTGCAGTTCACTTTAATTCCTTCCGTGTAATAGTGAATGG